TTTGATCACCGCAATTTATGATGTTGATTGTCACCGTTTTTGTTTATATAACTCATACCAATACTTAAAAATTATAATAATATTAATAAAATTCAACTCAATATTTTATGGCCCACATATGTAAATCCATATTGTTAAACAAAAGCACTTTAAATTTATACATTTTCCCTTTTTATATTAATATATTTCACACCCTCACGTATAATTGAAATCAATGCACTTTGTTCGCAACTGAACTTTATATCTATATCCATGCATAAATTTGCAACCCACACGAACAGTTGGGGCTAGTCGGCAGGGCCATCCAATCAGAATGTTTTAGGTACGTGCGGACACGTACGGAGGAGTGGACCCTCCGCAAATGCAAATACTCAGTTGGGCGACTCACAGAGCGAATCACAATATTTGTATAAACGATATTTGAGATGTGCTTCAATAATAATTTTCATACTACATTTTTGCTCTTCTTCTGCTTTTTAGAGAACTGGATGATAATTTGATAAGCAGCTTGCCGGAGGGACTTGGCAAATTGCCGCAGCTGCAGGAGCTGTAAGTATTTACACCAGGTGCCAAGCATAGATTAAAATAGTTAAATAATAGAGAAAAGAGAGAGGGAGAGAGTGAGCTCTTCCTCTGTGGTAAATAAAGTACAGTGAAGCCTGGCACAATTTGCTGCATTGTTAAGTTGGCAGCACAACATCTCCTACTTTGTCAGGCGGCAAACAAGCGGAAACCAAAAATCATAACGCATCATTACTTGGAGAATTTACGACGCTGTGCATCCCATGCCCATCCTTATAACTAGTAGTAGTTGGACCCCTAAGTAAACCAGTCACCGACCCCCTACCTTGCGTCAGCAGTTGACTTGAGCTACATCCTGTAGCTATTGCAATGCAACTCTTTCATTTTATTGTTAGTCAAAGTCTATTTACTTTCCGATGCGGTTAAAGAAACTCTGAAGTAAAAAGTAGTAAAAAAGTTTAAGAGATGCTGGAATATAGATGTCAAAGGAAAATGAAAAAATGCTGGAAAATAGAGGAAGAGTTGAGAAAGGGCTATCAATAAAGAGTGATAGGGATGCATTTAAGAGCAGAAATATAAGAACAGAAAAATTTTATATTTCCATTCTTATCTCATTCTACATTCTAAGGCAAGTGAGGAAAAGAGAGATCATCATCATTCTATCATATATTATTATGATCTGATCTAAGATTTATAATTTAGGAAAATATATCGATTGTGTCTATCGATAAACATATTTTTCATTTTGTTAATTTTTCTCATTGAGCTTTAACAATTTATTATTATCAGGATTATTACGTACTATAAAAGGGTTTCTTCATTTACATTTCGATAAAGTTGTCTCCTAGAGTATTTAAAATTCTTTCTTTGCATCAGAGTTCATTCGAGTCGCAGTTGCATTCTGTTTTTGTCACACGCACTTCCTGCAACTGGAAACTGTGGCGACTGCGTCGACTGTCATTGGAATCGTTGACATCGTTGCGACAGTTTTCTTTTTTTTTTTTTTGTTGCCTTTTTGTAACATTTCTCGAATGTGTCCCCAAGGAAATTGAATTTCTGGTAAACAGGATAATTATGAGCATGTTAAATGTTGCGATAAAAGCCACGCTGCGTTGCACTTGCCGAGCATCAGCCAAACCAACGAACCGACCAACCAACTGCTATCCCCATGATTGGGGAATTAAACTGGCAAATAAATTTGTGACTCTTCAGCGCGTGCAGAGAGGCAGGGCATGCTGGGGGCGTGGCTGTTGAGAAATCTTGCACTTTTTCTTGGCTCATGTGGGTTGCGGTTTTTTTGTGTCTTACCAACTGGCAAGAAAAACAAATTTAAAAGGATTAAAAACATTTTGTAGTGCTCGCAAGCAGAGAGTTAACTGTTCCTTAGATGAGAAGCCAAAGGAAGGCGAGAAATAAAAATAAAATATCAAAATCCTGGCAACAAATTACTTCGATAAACTGTGAGACTTGAGTGGAAACTTTTCGCTGGCAAATGAAACATACGTTTTTTTTTGTAAGTAATTAAATGTGGGAATAAATCGAGAGTTAGAAGGAAATCTTAGCACAGCTAATGATATTGAAACAAAACCTTAAAAAATACTTGAAAAGTAAAATATATAAAAACAACATTTAAAATATCAAAGCTTTAAAAAGAAAACTTGGCGAAGGCAGAAGAGAAATTTGTTAGAGACCGTGAAAAAATGATGTAAATAATATTAAATTAAAATATTTATGATTAACTACAAATACAAATTAAATTAACATATATTTAATATATTTTTATACTCATACCTCTACTTAATTACATTTTTTATTTGCATATATTAAATACATATATTAAATACAAAAAATATATAAATTAAAAAATTTTTTTTTCATATTAATTTTTTTAAATTGTTTATATATTTATTTATTTTTGTTTCTATTTTTATTTTTGTTTAGTTCTTATACTCTGTCTTCTTAGTCTTTAATATTAATAGTCTTCATCATTTGATTATTTTATAATTTAATTATTCCCTTTCCTTACAACAATCTGCAATTGCTTTTTGGGTAAAAACTTATGTCTATATGTGGCGTAAAACTACTTCACCTTCAATGTTGACCCACAAAGCAAGGAACTTACTGAGAATTGCCTGGGAGATGTAAGCAAGTTGGCCAAGAAAAACCCTAAAACGATAACAAAATATGCCACCAAAATATATTTATATATACATATATATATAAATATATATATAAATATATATATAAATATATATATATAATATATATATACTGATTTTATGCGTAGCAGTTGTCTTGGTAGCTAGCCAACTAGACTTTCAAATGCAGCTGCAACGCAGCAAAAGTGTCAAGTGGCACTTGCCAACAGAGTGCATCTTAGAGATACGCACGTGCATCTAACAGATACATATCTATATTTTGCAGCTCTATGACAAGCAATCGCATACGCTGGATAAACGATACGGAACTGCCGCGCAGCATGCAAATTTTAGATATGCGCGCGAATCCTTTATCCACGATCACTGCGGGCGCCTTTCGTGGCATGTCCAAGATGCGAAAGCTGTAAGTAACTAAAATCGATAATTAATAATCTTATTGATATGCAACTCTATATTTTAGTATACTCTCCGATGTACGCACTTTGCGTAGCTTTCCTGAGCTGGAGGCCTGCCATGCGCTGGAGATACTTAAACTGGATCGTGCAGGCATTCAGGAGGTGCCATCGAATCTGTGTCGTCAAACGCCAAGACTGAAGAGTTTGTAAGAGAGACAAGATATTAATTTATGAATTTCATATTTAATTCATATTTTCCTTTTGCTTTTAGAGAACTTAAAACCAATTCCCTGAAAAGCATCCCAAATTTAAGTAGCTGCAGAGACTTAAGGCTGTTGTGAGTATATCGAAAAGATATAGATATATATCTCAGCAGATATATATGAATACATATATATATATATATATATATATTATCCTTACAGAGATCTATCGAGTAATCAAATTGAGACGTTACAAGGACGACCTTTCCATGGACTTAAACAGCTGCACGACTTGCTGCTCTCCTATAACCGCATCAAGGCACTGCCGCAGGATGCCTTCCAGGGCATACCCAAGCTCCAGCTGCTGTAAGCTTAAACACTACACTCCTCTATACATATTTTAGCTGAGCTTCATTTACAGCGATCTGGAGGGCAATGAGATAGCTTACATACACAAGGATGCGTTCGCTGCCTTCACCGGTCTCGAGGATCTCAATTTGGGCAATAATATATTTCCACAGCTGCCGGAGGCAGGCTTGCGTGGCTTGCTGCACTTGAAGACTTTTAACAATCCAAAACTACGTGAATTCCCACCGCCCGATACGTTTCCACGCATCCAAACGCTGATTCTATCGTATGCGTATCACTGTTGCGCCTTTCTGCCTCTAGTGGCAATGTCTGCACAGCGTAAGACCTCCCAGGTCCAAGAGGCTGTGCTCTTCCCCTCTGATGCGGAGTTCGATATGACATTGTGGAACAACAGCATGATGAACATTTGGCCACAGATGCGTGCGTATAAGAATTTGTTGTTGTTCTGTTGTAGTTCATACTCTGTTTAGGTAGCATAGACGAGCATATTACTTTAGCTGTTGGCATTTGCAAATTATATTAGTTAGAGCTAACTATACTCTGCTCAAAGAGCAGACGGCAGTATGTAGGCTGCTGTTAACTGATATTCGTGTAAGTTTACAAAGTAGTAGATGATATATTTGTTTTGCTATTGGACTTATCTTTGCCCTATATGTTCTCCTTTACAATTGTTATTTATATTTTCTAATCCTCATTACTTGAACCAAAATTCAATTATTAATTATAGTCTGCTTGCATAATAAATGCAAGTTTATAGACTCAACTATTCAAGCCACCTTTTCCCTTAGCAATCAGCTAGAATTTCCATTTAGAGTTCTTAAGTTTCGTTTCGGAATCTGGCTTTTCAACAGTTCAGTCTGTAAAGTTGACATATAATTGTATAAACATTTAGACTCTAGATTTTTATAATTCTTGAACTCATTTGTTTATAGAGGAAACTATAATTTAAGTTAATGTTTTACAGTAAGTCGATCCCATGTAGGTTTAGATATAAAAATGCTATTTAAAAAAAATTGGTAAATTGTTAAAGCAAATCCAATAGGTTGATTTATATTTATATATATATATATTTCATTATAAAATATTGATAAAAGATGCATATATATATAAATTATGTAAATATATTCTAAGTTTAGACACTGCCAAAAGCGCTTTCAGTTTAAGAGTCATCAAGACAAGTTTTAGCTGCAAACAGAGTATGTCACGGCCAATCTTACACACCTCTCCCATTCGCAGATAATCTCAGCAAGCAGCTGGGCGCTGCCATGCACGACTTGTGGGATTCGCCGATGAACAACTACAATTTGAATGAGGATGTGCAGCAGACACCGACGGGCAGTCAGTTGGCCAACAGCTATATGGAGGAGTACTTTGAGGAGCATGATATGAGTGCGCCCGGCACTGGCTACGGCTTAGGCACCGGTCTCTTTAGTGGCATTACGGCCGATGACTTTCAACCGGGCTCGGTGCAGTGTCTGCCCATGCCGGGTCCATTCCTGCCCTGCGCCGATCTCTTCGACTGGTGGACTCTGCGCTGCGGCGTTTGGGTTGTCTTTCTGCTCGCTTTGCTCGGCAACGGCACCGTGGTCTTTGTGCTCATCTGCTCCAGATCGAAAATGGATGTACCCCGATTTCTGGTCTGCAATCTGGCTGCTGCGGACTTCTTTATGGGCATCTATTTGGGCATTTTGGCCATTGTCGACGCAGCTACATTGGGCGAATTTCGCATGTTTGCAATACCTTGGCAAATGTCGTTGCTCTGCCTGTTTGCTGGATTTCTCGCCGTGCTGAGCTCCGAGCTATCTGTCTATACGCTGGCAGTGATAACGCTCGAGAGGAACTATGCAATTACACATGCAATACATTTGAATAAGAGGACTATCGCTGCGACAGGCGGGCTACATTATGAGCGTTGGCTGGATCTTTGCGTTCTGCATGGCGCTGCTTGCCACTGTTGGGCGTCTCCGATTATCGCAAGTTTGCCGTCTGTCTGCCCTTTGAGACGACCACGGGCGTGGCCAGTTTTAACTTATGTGATCAGCCTGATGTTCATCAATGGCTGCGCCTTTCTCACCCTGATGGGCTGCTATCTGAAGATGTATTGGGCCATACGCGGCAGTCAGGCCTGGAATACGAACGATTCGCGCATTGCCAAGCGGATGGCTTTGCTGGTCTTTACGGACTTTCTCTGCTGGTCACCGATTGCATTCTTTTCGATAACGGCTATTTTTGGACTGCAGCTCATCTCGCTGGAGCAGGCGAAGATCTTTACGGTCTTCGTTTTGCCGTTGAACAGTTGCTGCAATCCCTTTCTCTATGCCATCATGACCAAGCAGTTCAAGAAGGATTGCGTGACGCTCTGCAAGCACTTTGAGGAGACGCGCGTTATAGGCGGCGGTGGAGCCGCTGCCGGTGCTGCCAATACTGCGCGTGCCGCTCGAGGCAAGCGCGCTGGTGGAGAGCTGCCCCCGCCCCTTCTACCCGCAGCTGCTGCAGTAGCTCATCCACCGGGTTGCCGCTGCCTGCGCATGTTGCCCAGCGAGATGCCCAACTGGCATAAGATGGAACAGACGCCGACGTTGTGGCAACGCTTGAAGCGTCTCTGCTGTGGCCAGCGGCAGCGACGCAAGCAGCGCCGGCAACCACAACAACGACGTCAAAGGGCCTACACAGCCGCAGCAGCTAATCCGTATGAGTATCAATTTGCGGAGCTGCGACAACAGCGCAAAAACCGAGCCAGCTCCATATCCAGCGAGAATTTCTGCAGCTCCCGCAGCTCCAGCTGGCGACATGGCACCAACTCTTCGACGCCAGCGCCGCAGTCCAATTGCAGCATGCCTCTGAAGCTAATGGACCCGGTACAGGGTCATACGCATGGCAGGCGCAGGCACTCGGCTTGGCTGATCACACGGAAGACCTCACAGGATTCCAATTTGTCCAGTTCACGCAACGATTCATCTGCCTCAGCCACAACGGCCAGCACCTCCACATTCCGGCTGTCCCGTTCGAGTGCTGGAAGCAGCACGCCGCTGCCCTCGATAATAGGTGAGAGAGAGAGAGAGAGAGATAGAGCGATAGGGAGCGGAGTGTCGAAAGATCTTTGTAGTCAAATAGCAACAATCTTAACACTCGATTAATGTTCGCTCCATTCACAGCTCACAATGGTAAACAGATGCACGACCCACTGAGCAAGCCGCGGCTCGTTCGCCAGGAGGCGGTGCAGGAGGAGGAGGACTCATCGCCGCCACGTCTTGGTGTACGGTTTCTGCCCACCATACCATCTGCCGCGGACAGTTCGGTCATTATGGAGGACGGCGATTCGGCCAGTGTGGCAGCTGGCAACGCCATTATGGGCATGCCACAGCCAGGTGATGCCAGTGGGTTTCTGGTAGCTCCACCGGCTCAGCTGCAGCCGGAGAAACCGCCGCCAGCGCCAAATGATGCGCCGCCGTGACGCATATCTGCATTCTGGGGCAGCTGGAAGCGGCAGCATGAGGAGACCTACCTGTAAAACGGGGAACAGAAAGCTCACTGTGTTCATAGATTGTATAGCGCGGGGACAGGGGACAGACATTGAGGGGGAGGGGGCATAGTGTAATAGTGGAACATGGCCATGTGATGCAGCAGAGCATCAGCTAACATTTATATAAATAATCTTAAGTAGTCAATTTCTTTGGGTTCGAGTCAAGGATTTCATTTAAACACACACACACACACACAAGTATTATGTACTACATATATATATATGTAATTTATTAATTAGTTTAGTTATCGATCGATAGGCTAGCCGAACCTAGCATATTTAGTGTTTAGACTAGCATAGTTTATATATGTCTATATTTCGATATGCGCGTAAAATATTTAGAAAATGCTAAGCATTTGTCGATATTACTTGAAGAACTTACTTGCAACGAGTTCTATATAAACACACAGCCAGTCACACACACACATATTGAAAACGATTCAAACGATAACGAAACCAAGCCATAATATACAATATTAAAGTTAATCTATTTACGATAAATGAAACTGTTTATTATGGGCATAGCTCTTGAAGAATGCCAATCTTAGGTAAATATAATGTGATTCAAACGGTTCAGATAAAATTCATTATAATTTTTTTTTTATTTTTCATCAAATATATCGATAACATTAATTTGAAAAGTCACTTCATATACAATTCATTATACATATTTTTCATTTTTCATCAAATTTATCGATAACAAAAATTGAAAAAGTCACTTCATATACAATTCATTATAATTTTTTTTTAATTTTCATCAAATATATCGATAACATTAATTTGAAAAGTCAATATATGAATCAATATACTTTTTTTTTAATTTTTATCAAATTGATCGATAACATAAATTTAAAAAGTCACTCCATATATAAATCAATATATTTTTTTTTTAATTTTATCAAATTGATCGATAACATAAATTTGATAGATTGCATTTTGTTGACATTTTACATACAGATTAACATATTTTCTTCAGTGTAAAGAAATCGATCATATATGCAAATCAAGTTATCGATAATTAATCGTATATTATCGTTTACTTGTGCTGTTAACATTTTTTTCATGTTATCGATTATATAAGAAAAATTACCTGTCATTTGCAAAGAATGTTATCGATATGTATGGCTTATCGATTAGCCTAAAACATTTGTTATCGATTTTTAAGCGACGATTATCAGTATTTATTAGCCTAATCGCCCAATTCAATCTGTTGATCAGCAGGCAACTCTTCAGTGTTCGCCACGCAGACACCATAGCTGGGATTCTCGATCAGATGCACGCGCTGTTTATCCTTCCTCGACTGACGTCGCTGCAGATACTCACGCGTCAGTATCACGGGCAGCATAACGAGCAGCACACAGAGCAGTGCAGTTAGGCCCAGCTTGCTCCACTTGGAGAAGCCACCAGTTCCATCTGAGCTCAGAGCACGATATGTCAGCCGCTTGCAGGTTTCTGGTGCCGCGCAATAGCTTCCCTTTTCACAGGGTTCACTGCAGTCGGGGCTGCATTCGCTGCTGCTGATGGATATAAAACTATAGCCGGGCATGCAAACACATTCATTTGGACGCAGACATTCGGCATTGATGCAGCGCTCTTGGCATGCCGCGTGACACAGATGCAATGCACTCGTATTGTAGAGCATGTAGCCCTCGTTGCATACGCAACGACCTGGCGCCTTGCAACGTCCGTTTTGACAGCTCGGCCGGCAGACGGGTGTGCACTCGTAGAACAGCTTGGTATCCTCGTAGCCGGGCCAGCACTTGCAGCTGTTGGGCTCGACGCATTCGCCGTTTATGCAGCTGGGCGAGCAGACGGGATCGCATATGGAAGTAGAGCCGTCGCGCAGACGATAGCCCTCATAGCAGCGGCAACGTCCGCCGTCACAGCGACTATTGATGCACTTCTGGGTGCAATGCGGTTCACATGAGCCGCTGGGCCAACGCTTCGCATAGCCCGGCTCACATTCGCATATCTCCGGAGCAATGCAACGGCCATGGTTACACGGCTCACTGCAGATGGGCTCACAGACGTAGGGATCGTGAGCGCGGGGCCGGTAGCCATTGAAGCAGCGGCACACATTTGGCGCTGCACAGGTGCCGAACACACAGGAGTGGCTGCATTTGGCTACGCAATAGTAGGGCGAGATCGCTTCGTAGCCACTCAAACAGCTGCACACCTCGGGATTGCTACAGATGCCGTTGTAACACTGCTTGCTGCAATGTGGTTCGCAATGAATGCTGCTGCCATTTGCCATTACGAAGCCCTCATGACAGCTGCAGATGTTGGGCGCCGTACAACGTGCATTGACGCCACATTGCGGCTCACAGCTGGGCGTACAGCGATGAGGCGTTAGCTTCTTATAGCCCTCGTTGCACGCACATTCGCCGGGTGCACTGCAGACGCCATTCTCACAGCCCTGGCGACAGCTGGGCGTGCAAATGTGTTGGCTGCCATTCGTGGGCACATGTCCTGGCTGGCACAGGCAGTGGTTCGGTGCTGCACAGGTGCCATTGATGCAGGCCGGCTGGCAAATCGGCTCACAGCCCGCCTCAATATGATTGCCGACATGGCCAAAGCCCACGTTGCAGGCGCAGTGCTCGGGCTCCAAGCACCTGCCATTGGGACAGCCGCTGCTGCAGATTGGCTCGCAGCGATAGTTCTGCTCCTGGTCCCAGTGGCCCTCGTAGCCGTCATGACAGCGCTGCTCATTCGGCGCTATGCAATCGCTGTGCTCCGACAGATTCGGGCAGTTGGGCACGCACTTGTCCAGCGTCTCATTGCGGCGATAGCCACGCCGACAGAGGCAGGATCCATCCTCTTGACAAATGCCATTCGTACAGTCGCTAGATTTGCAAATAGGTAGGCAAACCGACAGACTATTGTTAAGAAAACGATAGTTATTTGCGCACTGGCAAACATCCGGAGCAATGCAATTGCCATTGACGCAGGGCTCGCTGCAAACAGGCGCGCAAACGCTGCGATTATCCCGATTGCTATAGCCAGCATCACAGAGGCACACCTCGGGCGAGAGGCATTTGCCGCCGACGCCACAATCATGGCACTTCGGCAAGCACACGCCGCTAAGGCAGGCAGACAAGGTGAGGGAGAGAGAGAGAGAGAGAGAGAGCGAGAGAGAGAGAGAGAGAGAGAGATGATTGAGATATTTACTAAAGGTAAGTTTTAAGTTAAGGCTGAGGGCTTACTTACTTTTCCTCCTTGCGTTCGTAGCCTTCGCAGCAAACATCTTCTATTGACATATAAGTCTGATTATACAATAAATATATATATATATATATATATATATATAAATAAATAAATTCGATCAAAATCAGGTCATTATAAAATTAAAAATTAAACTATGGAATGTGAGGAATAAACAATTTTTAAATTTATTTTGAAGAAGCAGACAGAGAGAGAGAGACAGAAAGAAAAATAGACTTAGAGAGAGATAGAGAGAGAGATATAGAGGACAGAGAGACAGAAAGAGAAATAGATATATTAATAGATATAGAGAGAGAAAGAGAGAGCGAGATAGGGAGAGGAGAGAGATAGAGAGAGAGCACAGCAGATATCATATCAACTTGATATAAAATAAAAGTTGTGAACTCTATATCCGCTTTACTCTATATCTTATTTCCTTGATAAACTCAATTGTTAATTATGAAGTCTTGTAGTTGAATTACTTTCACGATATACAATATTTAGATAATGATCAGTTCAGTTGTCATGACTAAGAACTCAAAAGAACTGATCATTTGTGAACAGCTGATCAATTCTATAGAATGTAAAGTTCATAGCTGATTAAGTAATATATATATTTAAAAACCAATTGAATAAGAGATAAGCAGTTCGCTGATCACTGACCAAGTACAAGAGTTCATATTAAAGAGTCGATTAATTAAATTAATTATGAATGTAAGTGATTCTTTGCTTGAACAGAGTTAGCCTTTTCTTAAAATATTTTAATTTCAAAAGGAATATATAAAATGTCAAAAAAAGTGCTTGAATTTATATATTTTAATATATGTCTATATTCTCCTTTTTCCATATTAGAATAGCTTAATTTGTCGCTAGTGCACTTTATACACACCTCTTTAATAGGTCGCACAACCAGCTGTCCACAGTCGGTGGTACAGTTGCTTGATGAATTATGTTTGCGCATCGTAATGAGGCTCACTTTCATTTTCATTGTTCTACACAAAAATTTGTTGTCAATTAGATATAAAATCTTTATGAAGTTCGATTAGGCAGCAGCTTACGGTATACGTTCCGTGCAGGCATCGATTTGTAGGCAAATCAGCAGCGAGCTGATCAGACCTATTATTAGTAGGCGCAACATATTTCTTTCGTATTCTCTATAGTCTGGGATAACTCAACACCATTCGCTTTAGTGCACAATTAACAAATGAACTGACAAATGAGATTCGAATTACAGACAATTCAGATCTGACTTGTGTTTGTGCTACTGCTTATCAGAGTTCTCTTTCTATATATATATATACATATATAAGCATGTGTGTATATAAACGTTTGTTGAACCCTCGGTGGCCAAAACAACGACCTCATCCTACTCTCAATTATTTTGCTTCTGATATGGCCATATGAAGTCAAGCCGAGGTCCTTAGCATTGAATATGACAAATGCATTTCAAGATTTCGCTTATCGGAGCAAGCACAGAGCATTCACTATGTATGACATCAAGTTAAAATTGCAGCCTATTTATAAAACAAGCAAATACATTGTAAATGATAACTCACAGTAAATTCAATTATAAAACGTAGAGCTAGGCCTTAGCGAACTAAAGCTGAAAGCTAGGCAGTCTGCGAGATCATGTAAGCAAGGGCAAAACTTTGATTTATGATTTTTTAATTACATTTAAGTTTTAGGATTAGTCTTTAAAATATGTTTGACTTCATGTTTAATGTTGAATATAAAGTATTCTTTGATATTAATTGTAAAATATATAAATAAATGCATAAAAAGATTTAAATAGACATAAAGGGACTGACTATAATTTATTTATGTATTAAAAAAATTTATAGAATTTAATATTTTTTTAATTCGACTAAACACTTTTTCATATGAAATTCAAAAGCTCTGAATATTCAGGAATATCCAAACTTATATAAATTTTTAAATTACATTCGCTAAGATCTCAGAAGAGCAGTGTGACCAAAGTGTACAAAGTGAGTAAATGCCATAGAGCCTTTTATAGGCTTTGCAGCGATTGGCACAGCTGGTCAGCGCTTAATTTTTGCAGATGGCAGTACTTTTCCTTAAGGGCAGTGTGACCAGAACCGAATAGTCATTAAATGCCAAATGCAATTATTAGACTTTGCGACGATTGGCAAAATTGACCAGGCTAAATTTTTTAAGATGGGCAGCACTTTTCCTTAACAGCTTTTTTTGTTATAATTAAATTTAAAACGCAGCCTTTAAAAAAAAGCTAATTCGAGAAAAGTTTATATTTAGTTCAATAAAGAACTTCAAAGATATTTTATATACGCTGAACTGATATATGGGAATTATTAGTATAATATTTAAGATTTAGGTTAATTTAAAAAATGTTAATTTATTTAATTAACTACTATTTCTTCACTTGATTGAAATTTATATTAGCAATAAGGCAAAAGTTTCCCACATATATAAAACAACTTTTTAGAATTAATTATAATTAAATTTAAATTAGATGACACAATTTTTGATAACAATTCAATGATTTTATAGGAATTTAATTAACTGAAATTATTTAACTTTGTAACTTTGTTGAAGATTTAAATTTATGCTGGTTCCTTTGCTCATTCAAGAGTCAATTCGCTTATCTTTGCCAATATTTGCAACTATATATAGTATTTATAAAGTGTGGAATCGTTAAGGTTTTTGCGGTTTAATAAACTAAAAGTAAAGCTATATAAGTTATGAAATCAGAGTTTGTAAATCAGTTACTTATTAAACTTCAACCGAATCGAAAAGTTGACTTTAAATTGCTAAACATGTCTGGAGCTGGAGTTGGATTTGGGCGTGTGCTCGTGCCAATATGCCTGCTCCTGGTCCAGTTGGATTATACCTTAGGCTATAATACGACAAGTGCGCACTGTTGCCCGTGCTGGTGGCCACGAATAAGATGGTGAAGAAGCTAGTGACTCACACTCTGTTGGATACAACTGGATCGATGCGTTACCGAGAGCCGCAGGAAGATTTCTATGTTACAGTGGTATGAGTTGGGCAAACTGTTGTTAACAACTAATGAACTATCTACAGCAACTACGTGTCAACAGATTGAAACTTCAAACAAGTGCAAGCCCACTTGTGAGCCCAAATGCGGTCTTTATGCGGATTGTGTGGGCGATGAGAAACCCGAATGCGTTTGCCGCGCCGGTTTCCAAATTGAGCCAAATAATAACGAAACGCTTTGCAGGCCACAGTGCGAAAGGAATTGTGGCAGCCACACCATTTGCCACAAGCCAGGTGAATGCACGTGCTTGAATGGCTATCAGAGATCCAAGCTGAATGCCACCAACTGTGAGCCCGTTTGTCATGCGGAGTGTGGACGATTCCAATACTGTGCTCGACCGGATCAGTGTGAATGCGTTGTGGGCTATACCAGGGATGCATTGGGTCTGTGCAGTCCCCGCTGTGCATCATGTAATGCCAACGAGCACTGCACGAAGCCAGAACAATGCGATTGCAAGCCAGGCTACGAGCGCGTTGAGGACATATGCCAGCCACATTGCTCGATGCCTTGTCGACTCAACAGGTACTGTGCCCAGCCGGATATGTGTTTGTGCAAGGAGGGCTACGTGGAGAATGAGCTGGGCGTTTGTCAGCCACAATGTCAGACGGAGTGCGGCGCGCATGAGCATTGTATTCTGCCAGGTCAGTGCGAATGCAAGCCTGGTTATCAGCGAACTGAAACAGGCATCTGTGAGCCGCAATGCTCCATGCCTTGTCGGCTCAACAGGTATTGTGCTCTGCCCGACATGTGTCTATGCAAGGAGGGCTACGTGGAGAATGAGCTCGGCGTTTGCCAGCCACAATGTCAGACGGAGTGCGGCGCGCACGAGCATTGCATTCAACCAGACCGTTGTGAATGCCAGCCAGGCTATCAGCGAACTGAAACGGGCATCTGTGAGCCGCATTGCTCGAAGCCTTGTCGCCTCAACATGCACTGTGCCCAGCCGGATATGTGTTTGTGCAAGGAGGGCTACGTGGAGAATGAGCTTGGCGTTTGCCAGCCACAATGTCAGACGGAGTGCGGCGCGCATGAGCATTGCATTCAACCAGACCGTTGTGAATGCCAGCCAGGCTATCAGCGAACTGAAACGGGCATCTGTGAGCCGCATTGCTCGAAGCCTTGTCGCCTCAACATGCACTGTGCCCAGCCGAACGTGTGTTTGTGCAAGGAGGGCTACGTGGAGAATGAGCTGGGCGTTTGCCAGCCACAATGTCAGACGGAGTGCGGCGCGCACGAGCATTGCATTCAACCAGAACGTTGTGAATGCATTGAGAGTTATCGTAGAGATGAGCAAGGCGTCTGTCAGCCCATCTGCAAGGCAGATTGTGGAGAACATGGCTATTGCAGCGAGCCAGACAAATGCGGCTGCCAGACAGGCTATCAGCTGTCCGAGCTGCAGGCCAAGTGCCTGCCCATCTGTGTGGCTTGTGGCAATAACACGCAGTGCTCTAGTCCAGGCAAATGTACCTGTCAGACGGGCTTTCAGCGCAAGAGTGCAGAAAGTGTAGATTGTGAGCCACACTGTTCAACAGGCTGCTTGGCCAACAGCTACTGCAGCAAGCCCGAAAAGTGTGAATGCCTGAATGGCTATGCAGAGGATGCGATGGGCAAATGCTCGCCCGTCTGTGCGCCGGAGTGTGAAGCGCACAGCATTTGCATAGGTCCCGGCAAGTGTGCTTGCCGGCCTGGCTATACGGGCGTGGGCAACCGCTGCATGCCCCTTTGCAGCAGCCAATGTGGCGACAACAGCTACTGTGCCCAGCCCGAGCAATGCGCATGCATTGCCGGCTACAAGCCAAGCGATGAGCTCAATCGCAACTGCTCACATACGAAGGCCACAATTACCATCATCATGTTATCAGTTGCAGTTGCTTTAGCGATCATCAGCTTGGTCTCATGCATTGTCTTGGCCTGCAAAAGGCGCAACAAGGAGCCCGTTTTTGAAATGCAATCAGACAATAATGTTCTGCCCATGCAGTGTCTGGATCTAGATAAATACGATACGAGCTTGGAAGGCATCACCAACGCATCCTATGCGCAATAAGCCAATTCAAATCAAAATCATAAAAAGAGCAAAAATAAACTAATATATGTAATTTAATTCATTTTTAATCAGCTTGCAGTAAAAATGTGCTTAGCAACTCTTTGTGACGCATCGAAAAAAAAACCTCAAAAACAAAAATAATTTATGAGGCTTACAGTGTTAAATACGTGACAAATTCAATTAAAATATTTCATTTATTTTCAATAATAATTTTTAACATTTTCATTTTTAAGTTATAAACAATTTTGTTGTTGTCTAGTATTAGTCGATAATACATTAAATAATTATATATTAAAATTGAAATTTTGAATCTGATTGACTCAAGTTTATGAGCTCAAATAATTAATTGACTTAAATATATTTATATTACATATTGATGATAAGTTATATATTTAAGTGATTGATTGATAGCCTGATTGTTTGAATGACTGAATTGTGGAACAGTCGTTCTATTGACTGATTGACTGATTGACTTTCTTTGACTGGTTGATGGGGTGACAACCTAACTCCTTGACTGATTCATTGACTAACTGAACTTTGATTGAATTGAATTGACTGATTGTCACACTGACTAAATGAGTCAATTTCTGGCTGGATTTCAGACTTTTTAACTAGTGCCAAAATGTTTGATTGATTGAGTGATTAAACAACGGACTGACTGCTTGAGTGATTGACTGTCTGATTGACTCATATCAATACTGACTGACTAATTATTGTTACGGACTGGCATATTCTTATCCAATTGACAGATTAATTGAACTACTGTCAAACTGTTTGATTGATTGAATTAGCTGACTGAGACTATTAGATTAACTCTTATATATATTAATGCAGTCATTGGCTCAATTAACATAAGATTCACGAACTGCCTAGACTGATGACTGTCTCGCTGCCTGTTGGGTGTGTTGCTGACTGATTGATTAACTAAATGATTGACTGAGTGCTAAATTGATTAAGCAAGTAAAAAATAAATGACCTGATTCTAATGCAAACTAGATACATCTACAACCCACATCATACATATGCTGATTACATCCAAGATGTGGTCCAAGGTTGAGCGCTTTACATGAGCAAAGGCTAAGTTGTATTATCATCTTTATCAGTTTCTGTTACTCAGTCTGTCTCCCTCTATCTCTCAACGTTAGTTATTATTAACATAGCTCTTTTATCTTGTAAAATGCCGGATGTTATGAACAAAGTACATGCGAAATTGACTAACTAATCTGCGCTCACAGTTGAGTTTGAAACGCGTTGCCGACTCGCACAGAAAGTTGCACTCAAATCGACAATTTTCTTCAAAAATGCAAAGTTCTTATCACTTTTGGTTGTGTTTGCTATTCACACTTTATTTTGTGGCAATTGGCAGTGGACTTAGAATTCCTCGATTTGTGTGTTCCAGAAGAAAACAAATTTCGTATACTAAACAAACACTTAGACTTATAAAGCTGCCGGAGCATTCATCGACCAGAATCATTTTTTGGGCTAACCGCGCTAATTCTCGATATGAATTCCGAACGGTTCCTGAGGTAATTATGAAATAATATAAATAAAAAACCTTTTTTGTTGCGAGCTTTAGATATATTTAATAATTTTCATTTTTTTAATTGATATAAATATAATAAAAAAAAATATGAATAAAACAAAAACAATTGAATGATTTTTTTTTTAAATTATAAAAAATTATAATGACGACGAAGAATTATTCTAAAAATCAAATAAAATAATATGAATTACAACAACAGCAAAATACAAAAGAAAACCTTTTTTATATATATAAGATTTTATTATATTATATTATATATTTTTTGATAGCAAAATTTGTTATTTCGCTTCACTTTTTGTTTATATCTTAACTCATACATACATATTGCATGAATGTAACTAATATATATACTTTCCGGATGTATTTTAATAACTGAAACATTTGTCCGAGTGCGAGTTCGCTTCAACGTCTCAGTCACTGCTCAGTTGCATTTGGTTTGAGCTAGCGAAAGGTTCGTTGAGAAGAGCTTAAGAATGCAGGGTCTATACTTAATGATATATCTGCTGATGAGCCTTTGTGGCTGTTGTCTAACAATGATGTATGATACTAAAGTGTGCAGTCGCTTGAAGAGAGTTTCGTACACTCAGATGGTACAAAGGCTGAGGACCATAACGTATAGAAAGCGAGTATTCTTCATCTGGAAAACCAAATCACGACTTGAAACGCAATACGTGCCGGAGGTGAGATTAGAAAACCATGTCAAAATTCAAATAGCGCAAGGCAATATTTCTCAAGTATTTCCGCCTTAATTTCACAAAAAGTGATAAGCGAATTCATGAAGGAGAAATCCAGACTTCGCGCGATCAAAGTACAAATTCATTTCTTAAGTCTGGATACTATTCTTGGCAATATCATCAGTATTATTATTAGCAACAGCCTCGCCTCCATCATCATCATCATCATCATCCCATTCAGTATGAATGACAATTGACTTATCTATAATACTATTATACTTACGTCACAGACCGCCTACAAATTTGAAACGGATTACTATTGCTGTGAAGGCTATCAAGGATCGATATACGATTGCCAGCCCGTCTGCACTGCAGGTTGCGGCGATAATAGACACTGCAGCGCGCCTGATCAATGCAGCTGCAATAACGGTTATATAGGAAATGATTGCACTCCACTTTGCATTGGCTGCGGCATACATAGCCACTGCCAGTCGCCGGGAGAATGCGCCTGCGACACGGGCTACAGCAACAACGGAGGCTCAGGCGGATGTCTGCCAGTCTGCAATGCGGGCTGCCCGGAGCACAGCAACTGTGAGGAGCCCGACAAATGTGTGTGCATCGAGGGCTACGCCAGCTCCGATGATGGAAGCTGTCAACCTGTCTGTAGTCAGGGTTGCCCAGAGCATAGCAGTTGCAGCAAGCCAGGAGAATGTGTGTGCGAAGAGGGCTACAAGCGCATCGAAGACGGCAGCTGCCAGCCGATCTGTAGTCAAGGATGTGCACCAAACAGCAGCTGTAAGAAGCCAGAAGAATGTGTGTGCGACGAGGGCTACATGAGCTCCGAAGATGGAAGCTGTCAACCGGTTTGCCAACAAGCATGTCCAGCGCATAGCAATTGCAGCAAGCCAGGAGAATGTGTGTGCGACGAGGGCTACAAGATCGCCGTAGATGGCAGCTGCCAGCCGATCTGTAGCCCAGCATGTCCGGATAATGGCAGTTGCCTGTCGCCAAACGTCTGCATCTGTAAGCCAGGCTATGTCCTAAGCCAAAATCATAGTCTGTGTGAAGCCCACTGTCCAGAGAGCTGTGCGGACTATGCCCGATGCGTGGCACCCAATCAGTGCGAATGTTATCCTGGCTTCGAGATGTCGCAGGTCGAGCAGGTGTGTCAGCCGAAGTGCAGCCAGGACTGCTCGAATGGTTTTTGCTTTGCGCCTGACAAGTGCGCCTGCAACTCCGGCTACTTGATGGGTCCCAATCAGACCTGCGAGCCGCAATGCAGCTCCAACTGCATTCATGGCAAGTGCATCGCACCCAACAGCTGCGAGTGCGAGCCTGGCTATCGCTTTGCAACAGACTCAAAAGATGTCTGCGAACCCGTTTGTGAGCCAGCCTGCGAGCTGGGCACTTGCATGGCACCGCAGCTCTGCATCTGCCAGTTGGGCTACGAGCCGACCTCGAAGGAGCTGCCACATCTGTGCCGTCCCAGCTGCACGATGAGCTGTGTGAACGGCAGCTGCGTGGCGCCCGAGAAGTGCGCCTGCAATGCAGGCTACGTGCCGGCAGATGGACTCAATGCCACCAGCTGCAGGCCCAGCTGCAGTGGCGACTGTTCGAATGGCGATTGTGTGGCACCCGAGCAGTGTCTGTGTCACTCTGGCTACGAGCGCACTGCGGCTGGCTGTCAGCTGCGGCTGGAAGTGACAACTTCAACGGAACGGCAATTGGATGAGCTGCAGCAAAAGGAGCCAGGCACAAATTGTAGCAGCATCAGCTGCAGCTGTTGGCGCGCATGGACTGAAATTGAGGAAGCTGCCATCAAGTGCGTCAACATTTGCCAGGATGCTTTCGACAAGCCCTGCGTGGATCTCAAACTGTGCAGCTGCGACCAGGCAACAGGCCAACTATTATGCCCGGCTGAAGAGCACGAGCAGCGTCTGGTCTGCCAGGCGACCACAGCCATTCGCATCGATCAGCAAACAGAGCAGAATCTGGGCGAAGCGGCTCATAACTCGAGGCGGCCAGCAGTCGGCACATCCAAGTGGCCAGTGATTCTAGCCTGGTCCGCCGGCAGCTTCATCGTTTTGCTGCTCATTATTGTCGCCTCGCATCTCTACCTAAAGCACCGACGTCAAGAGGCCATTCAAGAGCAGGAGAACTACTGCTATGTGCTCTGTAACGATAAACTATAAAAATAATTCTTTACAAAAATTAGAGATTTATAATTTGAAATCCCAATAGCTGTTTTCCTGCCTCTGGTTGTTGAACGAGTATTTGTTGTATTTAAAAAGTATCATTTATTATTATTAATAAAGTGTTAAAAAAGTATTTATAACCAATTGCCTAGCTAGATTTTAGACGGGCACACACATCGTGGACTGTTCGTGATAGCTAAAGCCGGGATCGCAGATGCAACGATTGCGACTCACGCATACGCCATTGTAGCATTTTCTGTGGAAAGAAAAACCGATATCATTTTAATCTGTATATCTATAACTAAATACTTAGACACACATGTATAATATGTTTTATGTAAATATATAGTTCATTCAGTTTGCAATTGCTTATATTATTATGCTTATATTATTATTATTATTATTATATTATCTTAAAAGAAAGTCATCAAACACTGACTTCACTGTCAAATTGCAGAGCTCAAACTGCAAGGCTTTGGTAGATTTTCCATCGCTTTTCCGATTAGCCACACGCAACTTATTAAAAAGTGTCTGCTCTACATTTCAAGCCTGCTGACAGACGGGCATTGCACACAACTAATATACTCTTCTCACTCATTAACACAATACACAACTTTTATCCTAGCTACATCCATAAGCTAAAACAAATTTATAAGTTCAACTTGTTAAATACTCTATAAGTGTGTCAGTAGGGTATATTACCGTCAGTTCTTATACCCTATAAATATTTATCTAAGCTTTCTTCTACTGCCCATCTTCATCTTCGTCTATTCATTCCTGTTTGATAATGTCGACAATACTCACTGATAGCAATCGCTCTGGCAGACGCCGTCTTTGAGCGTATAGCCCGGTCCGCAGTCGCACTCGTTATTGTCCCGACAGATGCCGCCGATGCCGCAGTCCGGGTCGCAGACGGGCTGGCAGCCCTCGTTGGTCAGCTGATAGCCCTTGGCACAGCTGCAGATCTCCGGCTCGGTGCAATTGTGGCGCGGATTGTTGCCGCAGCCACTGCTGCAGATGGGCCGGCAGAAGCGTCGCGTCTCGTCCAGCATATAGCCCATGTCGCACTGGCAACTGCCGTCCAGATAGCATCTGCCGTTCTGGCAGCCGATGGGGCAGGCGAACACACAGTCACCATTGTCGTTGCGCACGAAGCCCTCGTAGCAATCGCATTCGCCCGGGATGCGGCAGCCACCGTTCTGGCAGCTGCAGATGGGCCGACAGACGGTCACGCCCATCAGCCGGGTGGGCGTGTAGCCGGTGCAGCAGACCTCAATCGAGCTGAGCTTGTTGGCCACATCCGTTTGAATGAGACTGGCCAGCGGATACTTGGAAACGGCCTCAGCGCTAGAAAAAGCCAAAGTTAAGCGAGCAACAGGAAGGCGCTTAAGTCAACGACATATAGACTACTGATATGATTATGTATTATATATTGAAAATCTATTAGAAGCCTGCATAGAAGATGCCCAGCTCTGATTGTATATCAGCTATTATATTATTTATATTATATTATATGATGCAACATTCTCTTACTCAGTCATAAATATAATATATAATATATAGTTATACCAAAATCTTATCCATTTCGATAAAAAGTTGACTTTAAAGTTTCTTTTTTTAAATATAACTCGAGTACTTTAAGAGCTTTAGTTATCAAAATGGTTATTTAGGAACTTATTAAGTATACGTAAATTCCAAAATTTTATTTTATTGATATCGTGAAGTTTCAATAATAACTCGAGAACTTTAAAGTCTATCGATATCAAATTTGGTATGTAGTTTCTTAAACAGATTTAGAATCTATATCATGGCAACTAGCGCTCATTAGAGTTGGAATTTATTGGTTTTTTAAGCGCAACTCGAAAACTTTTAAAGCTATAGTTGTAAAATTTGTATTATGGATGCTCTTTAGTCTTAGGCTAATTTAGAATATTTAATTTCCGTACATTTATATATATATTTAATTTGTTATATACCCCATATATATTATATTTGTATAAAATAAAATAAAACATTAAAAATAACTGCTGCAGCAGAGCTTTTAGGGTCTCTCGTAGTCTACTTGAATTCGAATTCTATTCTTCAAAGTTTGTTTGGTAAACAAAGCAAATTAAGCAAAGTTCGTTTGCTATGAGCTTTCGCTGTACTTACGGCACCCATATGCGACATTTGTGCTGGTCGCGACTCGAGACGCCCTCGTGAACGCGCAACATGTATTCCCGCCTACGAGGCTGCTGTTGCTGGGTTGGCGTCTCGGCAAGGTCAAAGTTGATGCCGCCCGAGCGTGGATAGAGCGTCTGTGCCGCCGCTGCCTGTTGCCTGTTGTTGTAGCGTCCGCCACCTCCGCGCCTATTGTCATAGCGCGTGGGCGCATCGTACTCCGAGTAGCTGGGCACGTTTGCCTGCATCCCGGCCAGGCCCAAGCCGACCAGCACTATCAAAGCCTGCTGGGCGTGCCTAAGTGTATGCATTGTCCTCTCGCTAGCTCCACTTATGCCTTTTTGTTTTGGTTTTCGTTGTTTGCAATCCCCTTGCTAAATTCTAACTAAGTTCTCAAGTTTCGCTCGCGTGCTACTGCCCCACTAAATCACTGCGGACGGCTTATCAGTTGCGTTTGCTTTTGTTTTTGTTCCTTTTTTTCGGACATGTTCTCAATATCAGTTCAAATCTTTCTCTCAGCTGAGGTTGTGAAATTTGTGTTCTAGAAAAGCTCTATACGACTAAACGTCTATCAAGTCTATCAAGTTAATTTTTACATTAATATATTTCGATTTTTCTGAAAACTGATTTTAAATTGTTTTATTATTTATTTTGATCTTGACATAATATTTAATGTACTTTTTTTTCATTTATTTCTTTAGCAGTCGACTTATTATATTTTATACATAAATATTTTCTAAATTTTACAAAAGAATTTTATTTATTATTATTTATATATTTTGTTATAAATATTTATAAAAACTGTATTTATTATAGCATAATAATAATTCAACTTATTATTTAAATATTAGAAAGAAAGAAATAAATATAGAGAAATCTTTTTTTAATTAATTAATTAATTAAATAAATAAATATAAAAAAATATCTTATAATTAATTAATTAAATAATTAATTAATTATAAGATATTTTTTTATATTTATTTACACTTATTTATTTTGACAACTATTACATGAAAAATAAGCATATATATTGTTTTAAATATAAATATTTATCAGTATTTTAAAAATTTATTCCCATTTTTTTGTTCCTCAAAACGAAATATAATATTACGTATACGTACCACCGGAACTGTTAATAGGTGAGTTTTAAATAGTTCTCAAGTCAATAATTATATGCATATATATTTCTCTATCTCTCCCTTTTTTGTTAACTCTATTATATATCAATATCTCAATCTCTATAAGCCTTTCTCTCTTTCGCTCTATTTATTTCTCTATGTCTCTCAGTCTTTCTCCATTTCTCTCTATATATCTCTCTCTCCCTCTGTCCCTCATTCAGCCTACTGTTGTCTTTCTCTATTTGTATATTTTGTTGCCTACGTCTCGTTGAAGTACTCTTAATTTAAGCACTGCGTAGTCTCTTGCTAATATTTTTAATTGAAAGCTCGTTGGCTTATCGCCGCTTCCCTCCCAGCTGAGATTAAACGCTGACCCGTTTCTCCAATTGCTGCTACTGCTGCGACTGTTGCTGCTGCCACACAGTAAACAATTGAGACTTGAGCGCAACTGTGTCGCCAGATCAGGCAGTGCTTCGCATCGCACAAGAGGAAACGAGAAAATCAGAGCGAGGAAGCCAGAAGAGAAACAATGCCTTCGACCAGGCTGCTGCGCACTGTCGCCCTGCAGGCATGCCTGCTGTTGATCTATATTTGCCTGCTGCAGGCGATCGAGCTGCAGCTGCACGAACAACAGCTGCAGCAGCAACTGCTCGATGAGCAGCTTCGACTGCACCAGCAGCAACAGTTGCTGAAGCAACAGCGCGAACAGCAGCTGCAACAGCGCCGCTACTCCTCGACCACATCGACGCGCAAGCCCTACATCATACCGCAGGGCCTGTCGCTGCCCCAGCGAGGCGTTTATCCAGACAAATGTTACCGGGAAGTGCCGTAAGTACAGCCAGAGATTAGACTCGAAAGCTACTTTAAATTGTGTAAATTTTCAATATAATTTTGGGCGTTCTCAGAGCTGTTTTCTTTCAGTACGATAAGGAACTGAAGATCGTTGGCAACAGCTCGACTAATCCGTACTTCAATGTCATCGAGGTCTGCTGCAAGGGCTGGCGGCGCTACGAGTACGATTGGTCGCGATGTGTTCCGGATTGCGGAGACCGTTGCAAGGAGAATGGCTTCTGCTTGCCCGGCGGCAAGTGTCAGTGCTTCTCGGACTTCGTGCTCAACTATCGGAATGAGTGCGTGGCCACCTGCCCGCTGGGCTGTCCGCATGGCCAGTGCTATTTGAATGGCACCTGTCGCTGTGAGCCCGGCTTCGAGCTGGATGGCTCGAAGCGCTTCTGTCAGCCACAGTGCAACACCACCTGCGGCCACAACGAGCTGTGCCTGGAGCCGGGCAAATGCGTCTGCGCCGAGGGCTATGCCCGCGGTCTAAGGGAGTCCAATGCCCTGGGCTGCCAGCCCATGTGCATACCCGACTGTGGCTATGGTCATTGTGTGGCTCCCAATCAGTGCGAGTGCTTTCCAGGCTATCAGAAGCGCATGAATCGCAGCTCCTGTGAAATCAATTGCTATATGTGAGTACTAAAGCAAGGAAATTTAAATTAACTATATAATAATTAATTAGATGGAGAAAAATATTAATTTGAGCTGCAGTAAATATTTTAGATTTAGTTAAAAACAGGAAGAGAGCTAAGATTACTATAAATTTCTAAGTATATGAATTTGGTATATTTTGTGAGTTATGGATATATAGATATCTTGGAGAGAAATGGCAAATCTTAATGAATACTTCCACAGCTCCAACTTTTTAATAACTTAAAGAACAGAGAAACTATAATTATTGATCATACTATCACTCTTGCTCAGTTATTTTCCAGTTTCAATTTTGATTATGATCAAAATTTTAAGAAACATATCCCGAATTACACAAAAGGTTTTTAGAACTTTTTAATATATTTATTTTATGTTAACATATATTGTACTTTAATATTATATGACATATATACATATGTGTATATATATGATGTATATCAAATATCATTACCTATGTATTATGTATCAATTTAGATCTCGATCTTTATGGCAATACTGTAACAGATCTTTCTATATTTGCATATACTAAGAGCAGATGAGCATATTTATAGTAAATTTAATCTTATATTACTTACTTTAATCCTAGTTATCAGATATAGTCTGTTTATATATAACTTGAAATCCTTTCCATACATCCAATATATAAAATATTTAAGATAAACTCGTATTTATAGAAATTCAATGATATTTTCACATCACTATTTCACTATTTATACCATCTCTAGTTCTCTCATCTCTAACTAACGTTTGCTCTCTGTAACCCTCTCTCTCTCTTTCTCAACCTTTAGGCGCTGTGAGAACGGCTTCTGTGCGAATCAAACGACATGCGTGTGCCAGAACGGATACCGTTACGATCACAATACAACCAGCTGCTTGCCGGACTGTGGGGACGAGTGTCGCAATGGCGTCTGCGTTTCACCGGGAAATTGCCGCTGCTTCAATGGCTATGTGCGAAATCGCGAGAGATGCGATGCGGTGTGTGAACGCGGCTGTGGCTTCTATGGCCGTTGCATAGCGCCAAATGTTTGCGGCTGCGGCATAGTTGTGGGCGCCGAGGAGAGCTATCAACGTTGCGAGAATGGCTATTGCAATGCGGAAGGTCATTGTCGTTGCCTAGAGGGCAAGACGCGGTTCATAGACAAATGCATGTCGCCGGATACGGTGACCACCTACGCCTCCATCAATCCGTTGCGAGTGAATGCCTCTCTGATGCACGAGTTTCAACTGCTGCTGGGCAGACACTTTATACTGGGCTCCGCAGGCATGCTTGAGGCAAACAGATGGTGGGACTAGCTGACTAGCCATATATAAATATACATATATATATACTAAAATAATATATACTATCTCAAAAACAAATATATTTTTATTCTTATTTTATAATGCGATGTCAAGCACAAAGAAATGCGCTGTGAGCGCGCTTATCAGTAATACAGAGGCTTAGCTGTAGTGGCGCTCAAATATATGCATGCTCAACAACAACTCAACACATTACAACAACGTGCTCTTCTACGGCTCAGCGCAAATTCATCTATTTTAAGCACACACACTCACAATGAACAATGACAATGAACCGTTCTTAAGCTTTCTATAAAAACAGCTCTCAAAATTAACGCAGCTCAGTTGCTCGCCTACCTTTAAGCCTAGCATAACTGTCCTGCAAGGAGAGCGCGAGAGAGAGAGAGAAAAAATGCGCTCGAATAGCATTATTATTGGTCTGCTGATTATTTGTCTGGCTTACGCACATGGGCAATTTTGGAAACAGTCGCAAAACGATTATCAGAGCTGGGTGCGTGAGATGGTGGCAAATCGTGAGTCGGGCATCTGCTACAAAACAGTATAGTACTTATAAAAAACCATATAAATATATCAAAAAGAACTTAAAATAATTGATAAACGAATTTTTCAGCGTTGATACCTTGAATCCTGAGATCAGAATACGTCAATTTTCACATTGCTGTGAGGGCTATGTTAAACGTCAGAATTCCAATTCTGCTACTTTGCACTGTGAGCCCATCTGCAATCCGGAATGCACTAACGGTGTATGCATCGCGCCAGGAAACTGTGAGTGTGGGCCAGGATATTTTAGAGATTCAGAGGGGGAGGGACAGTGTCGCAAATAATGAGAAAAACCTGAACCAATAATCGGATAATAATACAAAATAATGTTTGTTGCAATTAAAATAAATTCCATTTGGTCATTCATTGAAATCTTAATCTAAAGACATGCACAATTCCAGCGCCATATTCTACTCAATGCTACTCGATAATATCGAGTAGCATTATCGCGATCAGTCGTTCGACCTGTAAAGACGTGAATTCGAACAGCCTTCGCTTAAGCTCTACTGCTGCAGAGTTCTAAAAATAGAACTTTGCGGTGCATTCTTCAACGCAACAGCAACAAAAACCGCACACGCAGCGTTTTCTTATCGCTTGCTTCCGCGTAACTCAATTGCTTTAATTGCAATTTACGAAATTTCGTCGCTTGGCGCGAGTGCGCCTGCACTCAAAAGCACAATCCGCGATGACATCTAATGTCAATAACCTCGCTACAGCTGTAAAGGTAAATGCAGAAATGCAAGCCCAGCTTAACGTTGTGATGGCAAATAGGCAAGCCTCCATCATGCCAATAAACTCAAAAATAGATATCGCCTCCGTGCAAGGCATCACTAACAACAAAAACACGAAACGTAAACAGCCAAATTCACCAAAAACCATCAAGAAAAGGCTCATCTTCGACGAACCAAGCACCAGCAATGCAGCATTAATATCAGAAAATCGATTTTCACTGCTCGTAGAAGAAGATGAAGACTACAGCGAATCACCTGTAGCTCCAGAAGCCCCAGTATTGACCGACCAGCAAACTACACCGAAACCTCGTCCGCCCCCCATATGGTGTCCAAACATCAAGTCTGTGGCCCTACTTCAACAGATAATAGATAAAGTAATTGATGCTAAATCATACGTAATTAAGCCAAAGAAGAATAACATAGGTGTATTAACCCAATGCAGTGAGGACTATCGCAGAGTTATAGACCACTTTACTAAGCTGGAATTGGAGTTCCACTGCTACCAGCTTAAGGAGGACAAACCATATAGAGTCGTGTTCAAAGGGCTTCACTCCAGCACTGATACAACACTAATTAAAAAGGAATTGGAAACCAAAGGCCACACAATTACAAATGTGCACAACCCACTGAGCCGTATGGACAAAACACCGCTAAATATATTTTTTGTTGACGTGGCTCAGGCCCCCAACAACAAAGAAATTTTGGACATTCGAGTTGTCTGCAGGCAACGCTGCACAGTGGAACTGCCAAGAAGATACAACGACCTGACACAATGCCATCGCTGTCAAGAATTTGGACACACACAACGCTACTGCCACAAAGCTCCCAGATGTGTGCGTTGCGCCGGGAAACACGCATCCAAAGACTGCACCCGCGAAAAGGACCAGGCACCAACTTGTGTGCACTGTGAGTTACAGCACCCAGCCAACTATAAGGGCTGCCAAGTATACAAGCGGTTGCGCAAATTGCAATCCCCAGCACAAAAAAGGAGTCCCACACAAACACCGTCTACGGGTCCGAGTACTGCTTCCGAAATTACAAGGCCCCGGAGCATTACCCAAGCCACGAGCTTTGCAACGCCTATTAGTGGTGTTTCTTACGCACAGGCCGCTAGAGGTGGACCGTCAAATAAGAATACCACAAGTGACACTTTGTTCACTGAAATGCTTCAGCAACAACAACGTCAGTTTGACGCAATTAATGCCGAGCTCAAAGCGATGCGAGAAGTACAATCCCAACAAGCAACCATGCTAAACAGTTTAATGGCCATCATAACCAAGCTTGCCTACAAATAATGGCTTTACGTGTGGGTATCTGGAACGCCAATGGCCTGAGAAACAAGACTCAGGAACTGGCTGCGTTTCTCTCACAAGAAAACATAGATATAATGTTAATAACAGAAACTCATGAGTGCCCCACTACACAAATTTTCGGATACGAACACTATCAGGCTCATGGTGAAGGAGCAAACTGCTTTGGTGGATCCTCAATCCTCATACGAGCAACAATACCGCATACACCTTTACTGCCAATTTGCAACGCAACAATGCAGGTCTCAGCCATCACCCTGCCTACGTCTATTGGAGCGATCGAAGTTGCGTCAATTTATCTTCCGCCAAACACTGGTCTGTGTGATCATCACATGGAACAGGTTCTAGGCCAAAGGTTGAATAAGACCCTCATCGGCGGCGACTGGAATGGATGGCACCCATTTTGGGGAAGCAATAGTGCGAATCGTCGCGGAGAAGTCATATTTGAGGCGATTCAAAACTTACAATTCAGCATATTGGCGACTGGAGCCCCCACCCGTTACCCAATTAATGGACACAGGCCCTCGGCAATCGACTTCGCTGTCTACAAAGGCATCTGTGACCGGCAATTGACCATTGAAGAATCCTTGGACCTATCCTCTGACCACCTGCCACTAATAGTCACAATCCACGCGCAGCCACAGCCCTTGCCCATTAGGAAACAACTACTGCCAGCAGGATCAGATTTAGGAGTCTTTAGGCGCGTGTCCATTACTCTTTGCACATAGAAATGGAACTTAACACTCCTGAAGACGTGGACTACGCAGCAAACAAACTGCAGGAAGAAATAGTCAAAGCTGCGCACCAAGCCGCCCCACCATCTTGCCAAACAAGACAACAGTCTCCGTACAACATCCCCCTCACCTTGGAGGCCCAACACCTACTAATACACAAAAGATGGGCCAGGAGACGCTGGTTAAGATTACGCACGCCTGATGCCAAATCCATGTACAACGAAGCCACGAGGCATCTTAAAGCTGCTCTCGCCCTGCTTCAAAAGAGGTGTATCAGCGATGCGCTGGTACGAGCTGAATCGCCCACTGACGCAGAGTTTCAATTATGGAAATTTACAAGAAAGCTCAAACGGCAGCCAATACGACGTCATCCCATTCGGAGCATTTCTGGTTCCTGGCACATTGGAGACGAAGCTCAAGCTGAGGCTTTTGCAAACCACCTTCAAGACCAATTCACGCCGGTGATTACCGCAGAGGCCTCAGAAATCGAAGCAACAGAAGACATCGTTCTCTCGCCCCTCCCAGCTGAAGACCAGATAACTGGATGTACAAAAGAAGAGGTTCTTGAACACATCAGAAGAGTGAAGGCAAAAAAATCCCCTGGATATGATCTAATAAACGGCAGAGTCCTTAGAGCACTGCCTGACTCCACCATAGACTACATAACTATGGTGTACAACGCCATGCTCCGCATCCGGCACTTTCCAGCCTGCTGGAAGCGCGCCGTGATTGTGATGATTCCTAAGCCTGGCAAACCCGTGGGAGAAATTGAGTCGTACAGACCAATTAGCCTGTTGCCAGTACTCTCCAAAATATTCGAAAGAATATTTCTGGAACGAGTACTGACACATCTGGGACGCCAGGAGGCCATTCCAAACCATCAGTTTGGCTTCAGGAGACAGCATGGAACACCGGAACAGGTTCACAGAGTTGTGCACCATATCCTTGGAGCCTTTGAAGAAAAGATGTACTGCTCTGCCGTCTTTTTAGACATCAAACAGGCGTTTGATCGAGTTTGGCACCTGGGACTGCTGCAGAAAGTGAGGACCACCCTTCCAGCCCCATTTTTCGCGTTGCTATCCTCATACCTTATTGGAAGAACCTTCCAAGTGTCAAGGGGGCAAACAGTATCCTTGACTAGACCAATTATGGCTGGAGTACCACAGGGTAGTGTTCTAGGCCCAACACTTTATACTTTATTCACAGGAGATATGCCAACTCCCGAGCCAAATATAGGAAGTACAGATGCAGTACTCATAGCGACCTATGCAGATGACACCGCCATCTTATCACGTCACGTATCTGCGCAAGAAGCTTCAGACTCACTACAAAAATATCTGGACTCTTTCGGACGCTGGGCAAAACGGTGGTGTATCACCATTAATGCACAAAAGTCTGTACATACTACCTTCGCCACTAGAAGAGGAGATTGCCCAAGCGTTGCATTGGGGCCCACTATTCCCAAAGCCTCAAAAGTAAAGTACCTTGGTATCACTCTTGACAGAAGGCTGACTTTTAAAGCGCACATAAGTCAAGTAACCTCAAAATGCAAAAGCAAGCTAAAAACCCTCGACTGGATGCTGAGAGCTTCAAGCAAGTTGTCTTACAGCAGCAAGGCCGCCATCTACAAGGCAATAGTTGTCCCAACCTTCGTATATGGTATCTCTCTATGGGGCTCCTCGGCGAAGACTACAAGGAACAAAATTCAGACCCTGCAGAATAAAGCACTACGCAGATGGACTGGAGCCAGCTGGTTTGTAAGAAACTCAGTCTTACATAGGGATTTAGCAATTCCCACAGTTGCTGAACTCATTGGGCGACACAGTTCAAGATACGCGGACAGACTTGCAGCGCATCCTAACCATCTCGCAAGCAACCTGGCTATAAACAACAATAGGCGAAGACTGAAGAGATTGCATCCTCTAGACAATATTAGAACTAATTAAGATAGTAGCTACAAGTGCAGAATAATTGGCATATCTGCCCTCCCATTAGTTAAGGTTTAGAGCTAAATGCGCTATAGAGTCTAAGACAATAAGCTGCAACAAAATAAAGAAATAAAAACGAAAAAAAAAAAAAAAAAAAAAAAAAAAAAAAAAAAAAAAAAAATATCGAGTAGTTTTGATTGATTTGCTGGCAATAGAGGGGAAAGAACGAGGGGATAGATAACTCAGTTATCCGCTGCTGCGGACATTCCCATTCCCATTACACTAACGCCAGCAAGACTTATCCGTTAGATCCCCTTGTAAGCAGCTGAGAGCTGAGAGTGTGGCCGTGGGAATTATTGTTAATGTGCATGTATTAGTGCATCGGATATGCATATGAGCGAGAGATTAAATGACGATCTAGTCTTTGCTCGTCTGCCTTGCTACACGGTTGTATGTTTCGCGTGAGTGGAATCAATTCCAAACCGAACATTTCTAATAGTTAGTAAAGGCTGAAATTAATTCACTACTTGTGAAAACATCTGTGTACACCTACTTCATATGAGAAAAATAACCATTTCGGAGAATTGGAGTAGCTTAAACTTTTAATTATATTTAAATTATAATAAATGTTCTGCTGTCAAATTAATTATTACTTTGTTAAACATCAATCATATATATACATGTTTGGGGTATTTATTTATATAAAAGCAGCTAGATTCTGTTTATTCTGTCTACCACTTTTTACCCACTCTCGCATTCTCTTGTTTACATTGTGGATTGTGGAAAAAGTGTGAAAAGAGAAGATAGATAATCCGCTGATATTTTTAATGCAGAAAGGGAGAAATGCTAAGGGGAAAGTTGAGTTTGCGCGCGTCTGTGTGTTAAGTGGTTGCTTCGTCTGCGTGTGCAAAAGCACATATAATCAGCTGACTGATTGGCAATTCTATATAAAATATATTTTATTTATATGGTATTAAGAATTCACTTAATTTTCCTAATATTCTTCCCTTGTGACGTAAATATGTGTGGATGGAGTGAGAATGGTGGATAATAAGCTTGTCTGTTAAATTTCGATAGATGCTGGATGAGAAGTGTGCAGTATGGATCTTATTATCGAAGCTGATGTTGTTGCCTTGCCGGTATATATATTTGAATGTAGTAATTAATTTAATTAACAACTATTATAATTTATGGTTTATACTGGATCTAATTGATTTATATGTGCATATATGTAAATTGCTTTCTTCTTTTGGATTACTGTGTGAGTGTGCATATGTACGTATGTGTATACATATATAAGTTTGCTCAATTCACTTCGGATAATGTGTTGTGATAGTTGACCACAAGAGGGCGTGCTAATTGCAATCTATATGCACACAAACATTGGCTTATTCTAATTTAAACGCCCTCTGCCGGCCACGCATATACAAATTTATGTATGCATGATTAGATCATTACAGTTTGAGGGTTATTGCTTTTGGGATAACGGTCTTACGACAACTTCAACTATGATCATCATAATGGCAGTGTTCCCAGCGTATTAGGCAGTCGGTAACACTCACTCAGTTTTGCTTATTGATTGTCTCATTTGCTGAGATCAGTAATTGATTTCTCAGAACTACCTACAAAATATGAGTGTATGTATATTCATAAATAAATCAAGTAAATAAATAAAAGCTGCGAACATGAGTTGTGACTCTCTCCAAAAGTAATAATATGAAATAAAAACAAAAACAATAACGTGTAGCCAGAGCCAGATGTGAGAGTTGCCGTCGAGGTTATTGATAGGCGTATTGCTGATTAAGAGGGAAGTCGGAGGGGGATCAAAGTTTGCCGGCTGGAGGCGATTTGCGAAGCATTTGAAACAGAATTTGAAAACTTTTTGCTTAGCGATTAGTTAAAGTGCAGCAGCCGTAGAGAACGGACGTGTGTGCAGTTCCTCCAGTTATATCTACTACAGTTTGACATTCAGCTAATGACGTCACCGATCATGAGCTCATCTTTGCAGTTGTTCAGCCTAGTTGCTGTGCTGCTGCTGCTCTCGCTTTGCGGTGGTGGCCAAGCACAGTTTAAGACGGCCGGCATCAAAACCCGTCAGCCGGTACAGGCTGCAGGCAATCTACAGCTATCCAGCAATGCCAGCAGCGAGTACAACCAAACCCAGTACCAGACCCAGACCCAGACCCAGACTCAATACAGCAGCTACGGCAACTACGCCAATTTCGTGCCCGCCGAGACATATCAAGGAGCTTCAGGACATTATGTTCAATCGCTCAATCAGGTGCATCGGGCTCCACAGGTGCTGGATGAGACGGCGCTATTCATCAACAAAACCCGCTCGGCTATGGCCAGCGGCATATGCTACAAGGAAGTACCGTAAGTCTATAAGGGACGGGGCAGGGGAATGGCGTAGTGAATATATATGTAAAGAAATTATTGAAATTAGAATTGTAGTTATAGTAGTAGCAGGATAGACTGAAAAGCATGTTCTTAATGTGAAAGAAAGATTGGAACAGAAGAAAATATTATTTATTTAATTATTATTATTTAATATGTGATATATGTGATATGTTAATAATTAATATAAATATATTCATTCAATTAGAATCGTTTATTTTAGGCAACTCTTTAATGTTAACTAACGTAAAATCCCCTTGCATAAGCTCGAAATTATTGTCGCGCAGCTTAGAGTAATTGAAAATGGGGCAGCTGCGCATTGAACACATTGAACTAATAACCTCGACATCCTCTTGACTTGCCTGATAATGAAATGCGATTTCAAATTTCATTTGATATAGAATTTGTATACTTATTACGCTTATATTTGTTTATGTGATATTTAAAGAAAAACAAGCGCAGAGACCTTGAGCAATGAGGAAAACATATATATGTATAAATATATAAAATATATAAATATATATATATATACTTATATATGTATATTGTTGACATAGAAAAATAATTAGGATTGGAGGCTTATTGAAATAAGATTCAGTTTCATATATATATCTTAAAGGCTTACCAGAAATTGAATGCAATATAGGATATATTCTATTTAGATAGACTTAAATTAAGTAACCCTTAAGTAAAAAAATACTTCTTGATTGCTTTTATCATCATCTGTCATCATAAATATTATTAAATTTTATTTAAGAAGCATGCGTATTAGGTATTTATAATATTATGATGATAAATTTAATGATATGTTGTTAGATCTTAATTGAAGAGTCTGATTTATGCCTGACCGGAACAATTTTAAACCTAACTTAAATGAAATATATCAATTTAAAACAAGTAAGAAAGCTCTAGTCGGGGTGCCCGACTAGGAGATACCCTGATCCCAGTCCTTTGAGTTTTGTAATATTTTCCGTAGTTTGTATCGAGTATTAAAAAAAAAAAAAGAAAAAAAATAAAAATCGACTTTGCGAGACCCGGATTCGAACCCGGATTATTTGCGCAACGTTCACAAACACTACAAACACCGCCACTTCATAACTAAAAATAAAACAATAAAAAACATTTCATCTCCACTGGACTCGAACCCGGACCAAGCTGCATGCGAGCGGCGCCTCTACCAACGCAGCCGCTGTCCTTCTTATTCGATCTGCTGCAAATTTGAACATAAGTAGCAGCTAATATTCAGCTTTAATTCAATCGCAATTTCAATTCTTGGAATAGAAAAGAATTCACGCATTTGAATGTATGTGTGCACACGCATAGGAAAAATGCGTGCGCGTGGCGCTGCTGACATGTGCTTTTGCAAATTGGCCAAACGTTTTGTTTAATAACTTCTGTTTTACTTAATGGATTTTAATGAAATTTTCAGCATATGATCTACATATCCTATTGGCTTGGTTGAGATGCAAACGCCTTCACATAATGGCCCTAGTTCCAACTTAACTTAAATTCTAAGAATTTGGGGGAATTTGGAGCCGGTATCCAAAATCCAACAAAAATCAAAATTGCATAAAATATACATAAGACTAAATACAAAATTTGGAGGCTCTAGCTCTTAAGACGTTCGAGATATAATTTATTTACTGCATTTCAATAATGTTTTTATTCGATAACAATTAAATGCGAATAGTTATCGAATATTTGAAATAAACTTGACCTGCGCGTGCTATACACGGACCTACAAAAAAAATTTCAAGTCTCTAGCTCTTATAGATGCTGAGATCCACGCGTTCACACATACGGACAGACGGACAGACGGACAGACGGACAGACGGACAGACAGACAGACGGACAGGGCTCAATCGACTCGGCTTGTCGTCCTGATCAAGAATATATATACTTTATGGGGTCTGCCACGCCTCCTTCTGCCTGTTACATACATTTGCACAAAACCATTATACCCTGATTTCCCATTTTTAATGGGATCAGGGTATAAAAATATACCTATTATATTCATGCATATTTTCAATTCGTTCAGCACTGCATCCTTGTTGCATGGCTCGCGGGAAAAGTATGTTGGCAATGGCACATCACCAGATCTAAGTCAGATTCAGGTTTGCTGTGAGGGTTACGAGCGCAATCCCCATATCTATAGACGCTGCGAGCCCGTCTGCGTGGACGATTGCCCCAATGGTATTTGCACAGCTCCCAATACTTGCGTTTGTATGCCCGGACATGTGAGAACGGACGAGGGTAAATGCATCTCTACCTGCCCGCTGGGCTGTGGCAACGGAGTGTGCGATGAACAGAACGAATGCCGGTGCCGCGAGGGCTACAAACTGGATCCGGTTAGCCGCAAGTACTGCCAGCCAGAGTGCAATCCAGGCTGTGCCAATGGACGCTGTGTGGCGCCCAACAAATGCGATTGCCTTCAGGGCTATCGCCGTGCCGCTGATGGCAGTTGTACTCCTGTCTGCGACCACTGCGAGAATGGACAATGCATCAAGCCAGGGCAGTGCAGCTGTCATGTGGGCTACCAGAATGTGGAGGGACGTTGTGAACCTATCTGTGACCAGTAAGTATCGATTGATTGATTTTAATATTAATAGGCAGTCACAGTCACAGTCACAGTCACAGTCACAGTCACAGTCACAGTCACAGTCACAGTCACAGTCACAGTCACAGTCACAGTCACAGTCACAGTCACAGTCACAGTCACAGTCACAGTCACAGTCACAGTCACAGTCACAGTCACAGTCACAGTCACAGTCACAGTCACAGTCACAGTCACAGTCACAGTCACAGTCACAGTCACAGTCACAGTCACAGTCCACAGTCACAGTCACAGTCACAGTCACAGTCACAGTCACAGTCACAGTCACAGTCACAGTCACAGTCACAGTCACAGTCACAGTCACAGTCACAGTCACAGTCACAGTCACAGTCACAGTCACAGTCACAGTCACAGTCACAGTCACAGTCACAGTCACAGTCACAGTCACAGTCACAGTCACAGTCACAGTCACAGTCACAGTCACAGTCACAGTCACAGTCACAGTCACAGTCACAGTCACAGTCACAGTCACAGTCACAGTCACAGTCACAGTCACAGTCACAGTCACAGTCACAGTCACAGTCACAGTCACAGTCACAGTCACAGTCACAGTCACAGTCACAGTCACAGTCACAGTCACAGTCACAGTCACAGTCACAGTCACAGTCACAGTCACAGTCACAGTCACAGTCACAGTCACAGTCACAGTCACAGTCACAGTCACAGTCACAGTCACAGTCACAGTCACAGTCACAGTCACAGTCACAGTCACAGTCACAGTCACAGTCACAGTCACAGTCACAGTCACAGTCACAGTCACAGTCACAGTCACAGTCACAGTCACAGTCACAGTCACAGTCACAGTCACAGTCACAGTCACAGTCACAGTCACAGTCACAGTCACAGTCACAGTCACAGTCACAGTCACAGTCACAGTCACAGTCACAGTCACAGTCACAGTCACAGTCACAGTCACAGTCACAGTCACAGTCACAGTCACAGTCACAGTCACAGTCACAGTCACAGTCACAGTCACAGTCACAGTCACAGTCACAGTCACAGTCACAGTCACAGTCACAGTCACAGTCACAGTCACAGTCACAGTCACAGTCACAGTCACAGTCACAGTCACAATGAAATTCTATTGACATTATCTTCCTCTTCTTTTCTTCCTCCTGTGGAACAGACCCTGCAAGAACGGTCGTTGCATTGCGCCCAATACATGTGAATGTGCCCCGGGATACGATTGGGAGCGTAAGAGCGCACAGTGTGTGCCCCACTGTGATGCGCCGTGCCTGAATGGCGTCTGCATCGGACAAAATAAATGCGAATGCAAACTGGGCTATGTCTTGGATGAGCATCGGCCAAATCTCTGCCAGCCGCATTGCCCGCAGGGCTGCCCCAATGGCTATTGCAGTGCGCCCAACTTCTGCATCTGCAAGCCAGGCTTCATCAAGAGCGGCATCAAGGGACGTCAGAGCTGTCAGCCCGTCTAAACAATTGGACTTGTCTATGTGAATTTATTCCAATTTTTAATTTGTTATCTAAGAACTAAGACCAATTAAACAAACGTCCGATTAGCGCATGAAACTCGTATTTTATATCTTCATCAAGCTCCTTGCGCAGCTGCAAGCTGCTCAGCTTTCGCTCAATGTACTGTGGCTCCAGGCACTGGCCGACGTAGTGCGTCCATCCAGCTGGACACTCGCAATGGCCGTTGGCATCGCAGCTTCCATTCAGGCAGTGCTGCTCATTTGGCACACAGCCGCAAACATTGGGCGACAGACATTTGCCGTAGTAGCCGCAGGAGCTAAAAGACATAAATTATAGGGTATAACTGAGTATGTCAAGTTAATTAAAAACACAATATTAGTCGATACGTATTTCAGTTATGAACTTGACCTTCCTCTAAGTCTATTTATTTCGTAAAGTCTAATTTTCAAAGAATTTCTTTGATTATTAATTTATATGAATAAGACTTCTTTTAATATTTTTTGTAGTAAAGGATTTCTGTGGTATTACCTTCATTCTTTGACAGTTTATTATAAATTATAGGGATATTTTGATGTGATAGGTAAATCAGTTGGTTGTTCCTTTCAATGTTTCATAAATTTATTCGTATATATAAACATAAATTTAGAATAAAAAATATTTAAGATTGTAGGTTTTTTACAAGCTCAGATATTTTATACAATCAAAGAATGGGTTATAAAGATATTAATGAAACTTTTAAATACGCTAACTAATTTTTTTATTTGAATATTTTGTCACTAAATAAATATTTTTTGTATTATTGTAGTTATTGTAATATTTATATTTATTTAATATATGATATTTTTGTCTATATCCAAATTCCTAACTGTGACTAAGCTAAAAAATGCTTAGTCTTATTGTAAAAACTTTTAAATTAATTTTTATTAAAAGAATTCAAAAATATTTTTAGACGAAACTTTAGAAGTTTATTGAAATAATATTAAAACAGTCAGGAATGTTCCCTGCTTTATTATAATTAGAGACGGGGTTGTAGCTAGTTACAAAACAGTTGACTAGGAAAGAGATATATTGAATTAGTTATGAATATCTCTCATATTGTTTAAGTGTTATTCAATTATTGATAGACCTACCTCTCGCACTTGGGCTCGCAGCTGTTGCCTCGCAGTTCGTAGCCCTCGAAGCAGCGACAGATGCCGGGAGCAATGCATACCCCATTGCCATGGCCACATTCATCCTGGCACACGGGCAGGCAGCTGGTCGTATTCACATCATACTGGTAGCCCGTACGGCAATTGCACTTGAAGCGGGACTCACAGAAACCATTCTCGCAGTGTCTGTATTGAATGGGGATTGTCGGATTAAAGAAATGTAGTCGATGAACTGCTGTTGATCAGTTGATACGCACAGATAGCATTCGGCCTCGCAGACATTGCGCTGTCGACGCTTGATAAAGCCCGGAATGCATTCGCATTGGTTGGGCGCCACGCATTTCCCGTAGCCGCAGTCTGGCGCACAGATGGGCTGGCAGCCTAGCTCTGAGCTGTGTCGATAGCCCGGCAAGCACTCGCATTTATCTGGTGCTACGCACTGCTCATGCGTGCCACAGCCCTTCGGGCAACGGGCGCGACAAAAGAGCCGGGTCTCCGGATCAAGAACATAGCCTGGCAGGCAGGCACACGTGCCGTTCAGATAGCAACGTCCATGCTGGCAGGCAATCGGACAGGTGTGTATGCAAGCGCCCTGCTCATTGCGCACAAATTCCGGAAAGCACTCGCAGTGACCCGAGGCACGGCAAAAGCCATTGCGACAATTGTCCGGCGTAGTGAGCCCACAATCCGGCACACATTGACCCGTATACGGATCTGTTCGATAGCCAGCGCAGCACTGTTCGATGCGTTGGAAATAGATGCTGGAACCATTGCCACGCACCGGCTGATGCTTCTGAGTCTGAAAGAAGATGGCACTACGACAATATTTTGGTTTTTTTACTTAGTCTGGCAACACTGTTTGCCCTACTTACGGCAGCTCGCGCTGACACAGATTATGCTGCGTTTGACTGAGTGACTCAAATTCAAGTGCTGTGTGTATATCGCCGTATAGCTCTGATCCCGCTGTCAGTCCCAGCAGCAGCAGCAACAGCAGCAGCAGCTGAGGCCGCACAACATTCCATATGCAGTGCATTTCTCGTGTTGTTTACTTATACAGCTTCCTGAAGCGAATGAGCACGGTGATTCAGATTGAGCGCCTTATCGGCTGTCATGAGAAAAAGAGTGAGAGAGAGAGACTCTTAGTGAGTCTGTTAAGGGAGCGAGAGGCCACGCTGCGATAACTATAAATAAACTATAAAGCAACAGAAGCCAGAGCTAATCCTAAGATTCAGCTCTAAACTTTATCAACATTCGATGAGCTAATAAAAGGGAGGTAGAGGGAGAGGGAGGTAAAGACAGATGATAGCTCTTGGCTTTAGTATAGTTCCATGTGCAGAGCAACTGGACTATAATAAATATTCTATATAATACTTGTAATCAAAATACCTGAATATAATATATTATTCATTCGAGTTTAAAATAGTCCATTTTTTAATCATGATCGATAACTTTTCACTCCTCTAATTCGATTCTTTTCACTTTGATAAAAATTTGAAATAATTTGTTAAGCTGCCATCTTTTATCATAAAGTTGGCCAAGTAATCTAGCCACATTAATATAACATATGAAAGCTGTGAGTCGACTAAGTCCATTTTAATTATATCAATTAATTTTTAGAATCTGTATTTATTCATATATGAAATGATTCATGTATAGATTGCTGTGGTCGTTCTGTGCCTATGAATTAATTTACTGCTAATGTTAGACAGGCGAGGCGATTCGTCCGTTTGCCCGTTGGTCCGTATGTTAAATGGATTTTGAGACTTGAAAAAACAACGATATCATATAAAAATTTTTATGAAATCGATTAAAATCGATATCAAGCTTCATTTATTAAAGCAAAGCTAAGCTTAATTCACGGAAAAGAATCATTTCGAATGAGCTGTACGGCAAGCAATTTGGACCTTAAATATATGTAGCCTATTTATTTATTTTATTCCATTCTTTAAATTTTTTATTATTCGTCTTTTTTTAATTTTTTTATTTATTTATTTTTTTTGTTGCTTTTATTTACTTTTAACTTTTTTTATTTATTTATTTTCCAAAAAAGTATCGTAACAACACAACATGATATATCATGATACCTTATAAGCCTCATTCTATATGGAATAAGAATTTAATTAACAATAAAACAATTACATTTACAACTAATATTACAATATTCGCATATTATGAGGGAGACTTAATGGTTAGCTAATCGTGTTAGTAAAATCAACTCTATTCAGTCGCCTCAAAGGCTTTGCGGGTTGCAGTGCCTTATCAGTCTATCACTGTATTTAGCATATTTAAATTGTTTAAATTGCCCCTCATATGTATGTGCCATATTAAAATATTATAAAATTAAATATATACTTTTAATGTTAATCTGAATCATTCGCTCGATAGGTGTTACTGCGGTCCCCTATTTGCATATAATTTTATAATCACCACAAATCTGAATCAAGCATGAAGTACCCGATATTTGCACTCGCTTTCTGCATATAAAGGCAATGCGCTGATCGATTCCTATTTAGTTCTTCAGTTTAACTTGGGGCGCAAAGCAATCAAATTAATTTTGGAAATGAAGTCGTGGAACTATTTGCTGGCTAGTTGCCTGCTGGTTGTGTCTCTGGGTATTGCCAGTGCTAGGCCAGAACAAGAGACTAAAGTCACAGCTACAGAAACCTCCGATAGTAGTGAATGTGTCCCGGTATGTGGGCCAAATCAAAAGTGCCTCAACAGCCTATGCGTTTGCGAGGAAGACTATGACAATTTTAGTGAGGGGGGCGTTGTTAACTGCACCAAACCAGCTGTGGACGAGACTGCGAAGTGCCCCGAGGACTGCGGCTTAAATACCGAATGCCCGAATGGAAAATGCGTTTGTAAACTAGGATTCTACAAGGAGTTCATTGACAGCAAGGACTGCATTGAGAGCGCTTGTCCAGAAGGTTGTGCCGAAAATAAAAGGTGCTTTAACAGCCAGTGCGTTTGCAAGGAGGAATATGCTGAGTATGCTGACTGTATCAAGCCTGTTAGCGATAGCAACACCACCAGCGCCGAGAGCACCTCCAGCACCGAGAGCACCACAAGCACAGAGAGCACCACCAGCACCGAGAGCCCCACCAGTACCGAGAGCACCACCAGCACCCAGAGCACCACTACTACTGAGAGCACCACCAGCACCCAGAGCACCACTACTACTGAGAGCACCACCACTACCGAGAGCCCCACCAGCACCGAGAGCCCCGTCATAACTGAGAGCACCACTAACACTAAGAGCACCACCAGCACTACCACCACAACATCCAAACCCTCAACTACAGCCAAACCAAAACCTAAACCAGAAAAGGCTGGCATGAGTGCTTGGGCAATCGCTGCAATTATTTTGCTGGTGGGTTGCATTGTGGGTTTCGGCGGATTCATGCTGTGCAAGGTCAGGAGGCGACGCTGTGGCGTTCGCACCCCCAAACGCGAGATTTAGAAGAAGCACAACAAACCATAAAAATAATTTATATAATCTTTTTAATTGTTAAATATTTAATTATAATAAGCTCCGAATAAGCTCAGAATAATTTAGTTTGTTCGTTGCTATTTCGTTCCATGTAATATTCCTACTTAAAGTTTAAACAACTCGTAAGACTTCAATCGTTATTATATTATATTATATACAGAATATATTTGTGTTTGGTTAAATTGTTTTTAGGGTTGCAACTTACCTTTTACTTAACCTACCACAGCTGAACCTAGAGCTCCGGAAATTGAAATTCTTGAACCAAAGTCAACCGCAATATCTACAACAATTTCTTCAACAACAACTTCTACAAATTTATCCACAATATCACAATCTTCAACAACAACTAGAACAACCTAATATTCATTAATATCCTCAACTACCTCTTCAAAAATATTTTCAACAACACCTTCAAGGACTTCTACAATTTCATCCACAATATCCCAATCTTCAACATTATCTACTACAACTTAATGTTCAACAATATCTTCAACAATTGAACCTACGACTGAGTCTACAACGGAATCTTCAACATCTGCAATATTTTCAACAACACCTTCAACAACTTCTACAATTTCATCCACTAAAATTTTCAACATCTCCAATATCTTCAACAATATCTTTAACAACTTCTACAATTTCATCCACTGAAATCTTCTACAATATCTTCAACAACACCTTCAACAATACCTTTAACAACTAATACAATTTCACCCACTGAAACTTTCAACAACATCTCCAATATCTTCAGCAGTATCTTCAACAAGTTCTACAATTTCATCCACTGAAATCTTACAAAAAAATATCTTCAACAACACCTTCAACAACACCTTCAACAACTTGTACAATTTCATCCACTGAAATCTTCAACAACATCTGAAATATTTTCAACAACACCTTCAACAACTTATACAATTTTATACACTGCAATTTTCAACAACATCTCCCATATCTTCAACAATATCTTCTACATGTTCTACAATTTCATCCACTGAAATCTTCTACAATATCTTCAACAACACCTTCAACAACACCTTTAACAACTAACACAATTTCATCCACTGAAATCTTCAACAACATCTACATCCAGATCATCACTTAACACCAATAATAACACTGACCTATTTCATAGCACCCGGCACAACGATCAAGGAACTGAGCACCGTTGATCAGCAGCAATACAACAACTCACAAGAGATCTAAAGCATCCACTTCAAGAAGTTCAATATTTTCATTAATTAGAAAATGATCAATAATTTCCATATTTATATATTTATTATACAAATTTATAAAAAGTAAAAGTTATATGGCCATAATATTCAGTAGGAAGCGACATGCTGTTGGTATTCCCATTAAATCCAGCTTATATAACTAGTAAATATGAATATTACTTTTTTACTTTTATTTTCTAAGTTATGTAAGACATACAAATGGTATAGAAATATAATTTTATTTTTATTTTTATTTATTTTATTTTTATTTTTATTTATTCTTATGTAAAATTGGAATTGTGCCTGTAAAATTTACAAATGGGCAATTTTATGCGTTCCAATCTGGCTGGGCACCTGCAGGAAATTGGAGTTTTGTGGCGGAATGATCAAGTGGGAAACATGTGAGCCGCTGTTGGTGGTGCTGGATATGTGCTGGTGGTGGTGCACCCGTCCATTGCTCTGGCGCAGTGGCTGCGGTGGTGCCAGAAAGGCAGTTGCCGTGGTTGAATGCTGATAGCGTGACTGCTGCGAGGCATGTGGTTGAGATGAGTGGTGTGAATGTGGTTGTAGCTGTTGCTGCTGCTGCTGCAACTGATGGTGGTGCTGGTGGTGATGCTGCTGCTGTTGATGATATCGTATCTCATCGTATAGATGCGAATCGAGGCTGCCTTTGCGCGACTTGGGGGATACGACCGAATACAGAGATTCCTTGCGTGCATAGGCATAGGGCTGAGTTGTAATCGAAGAGTTATTGCTGGGCGTGTCATAAAGATCAGGCAAAGATGCTGCAAGAATCGTTCGATAAGCGTGTTTTGTTTAACCATGTGGCTAATGCGACAAATAGCTTGATCTGAGAGTTGCACAAGAACTGAGTTCAGTCTAATTATAATATTATATTATACAAATGGCTGAGTATTAATTAAATCTATTATTATAATATTTTTATAAATATTAAAATATTAATATATTAATTTAGAAAATATTCCACAAAAATCCACTTCATGAATCAAGCTACTTAACGAACCGCCCTCTTTACAGGCGGGGCGACACTTACATACCCTCGTTCGGTTGGGTTTGATTGGTGGGTAAGATGGCCGGCGGCTTTGGCAATGGTCCATGAAAGATTTTCCCCGTATCACTACTGATCACCACTTCCGGAGTGACATGTCCATGTGGCTGGGCGTTGCTGAACGTGCCATTGGCATTGTAGATGACGGCCTCTTTCTGCAAATGCTGCCGCCTGTAGACGTAGATGAAGCCCAATATGATGACGATCATCAGCATGAGCAGCATGACAATCAGAGTGCTCAATAGGCTGGAGTCGTGATCGTGAGCACTGCGACTCGGATTACTCTCTCCGGCCGCAAAGCCAGCCAAATTCAGTTGCGGTGCCCGATCCTGGCTGCCCCCGACGCCGCCAGAACTTGTGATTACATGGATGACCTCTGGCGTGGGCACACCCGCTGCTGCAGCTGTATGCAAGTTCTCGAGCAGAGCATTGCTGGACTCGTGCAAGATGATCTTGGGCGTGTGCGCTGCCTCCTGCACGGGCTGTTTGATCAATATGACCTCCGGCAAAGCACTGGGCGTCACCTGAACGTGACTGCTCTCAGACATGCTGCCAATGCGCTTGGCAATGTTGTTTATATTGTGTGTTAGGTTCGCCATGGTCGAGTTGATTGTCTCCAGCACAACATGATTGACGTTGACGGCTTCTAAGCTTTCCGGGCCCAGACACTCGCCCGTCTGTGGATGGCAGCGTTTCTCTGGGCACTCGCAGACTTTGCGGCACATGACGCCATGTGTGCCCGGTGGACACGGCTGCTCGCAGCTGAAATAATGTAAAATTAATTCAGACTACACTCAAAGAAAAAATATTTTCTTATTAATTGAAGTTAATCACAAATTAAAGCCAAGTTTTGCATTAACTTACAGCTGACCAGCCCAGCCGGCTATGCAATGGCAACCTCCTGATTTATTATCACATACGGCATCATTTTGGCACTGGCATGAGTTCTTGCAGTCGAGGCCCCAGCGATCGTGATCACAGCCTAGAAAGGGAGAACGTGAACTGAATGGCATCTCAGTCAGAGGCACTCTTCCTCAGCTCTACTCACGCTGCGTGCAGTGCTTGCCGGTGTAGCCCTCCTCGCAGCTGCATATATCGGGCATAAGGCAATTGCCACGCCCACAGCCGCCGCGACAAATGGGACGGCAGCTGGCCTGGCTGTCCGAAAGATTGCCCTCATAGCCTTGACAGCAAAAGCGAACCGTACGCGTTTTGTTCAGTCTCTGAAAGAGCAAGAGAAATTTTTTTGAGAGAGAATGAGTGAGTTGACATTGAAAATAAACTAAAAAGTTGAGCTTATTTTAAGTAGTTTATCATTTATATAAATAAATCTGAGCCAAGAGAGTTTTCTATTTGTTTCTTGAATAAAATATGAATCACTTGAGATACCGAAATATAAAATTATTTATTATATGTTTATATAATAAATATAAAATAAAATAAAATGAGCTAAACCACTGAAATCAATGTAGTTCAAGTTCTTGAAGTGAAGCAAGTAAGAACTTAGCCAACGGTCATGATCGACTACATAATACTCTTTCCAAATACTCAATATTTATTGCAAAATCGAAAATATGGAAAAAATAAATCGAAAATTTGATTGGCCGTATTTTCTGTGGAGAAGGTCAACAGAACGCCACAAATATATATATATATATTTATCCAAAGGAGTATATATATAACTAGAAATATATATATGACGACCTGCCACGCCTCTAACAGCATTGAAAACATAATATTTCTTAAACCAGTCACTAAATAGTCCTTCTTGCCACGCCCTTGACTCCATAATTCACACTTATGAGAATGGACAGCAAGACGTACATTACATAAATAAAATATACTCTCTTAACATTATGAACGGGTATAATAAGCAATAGAGATAAGTTCTGCTTCTGAACGAAAGCTCAAACTCTCGACATTGCTATCATATTCTATATTCTTATAATATGATACGCTCAAAAACCCACAACGTTTTTATGAATAGATTGAATACATATATTTATGAGTATATGTGAAAATATAAGAATATTATCAAATACCGCTTCCTGTTAGGGTTACAAATTTGTGTGGCTTTGGCAAAGTTTTTAGCCTGTCGCTTAGTTCGCAATGCGCTTGCAAAAGAGCAGCACTTAAAGAAATTTATTTATATTCTACAAATATAAAATTATAAAATTCAATATAAAAAATGCAACGTCTTAAGTTGTCGACTCTACTGTGTTGCAGTTGCTTGCTGTTGTTGGTGAATGCTGCCGTCATTGAAGATTTTGACCTATTCGGCATAGAGTTTGATCTAATGTCATATACATCCGAAAGTTCGGCGTCTAGCTCAACCCATTTAACCGAGACTACAGATTCTGGATCAGACACAACGGATTTCACAACAGATGCAGCTTCTTCAACCACAACCAACACCACTCCCAAGCCCCCAACCACAACCACTCAACGACCTAAGCCACCAAAACCACCACACAGATTATGGGAAATAATTATTGTTCTTGTTATCCTAACAATTGTCATAATTTTTGCCTTACTCATTTGCAAGTTAAGGAATAGCAGATCCTACGATATTTAAGCTCTAAAGGGAAATGTTGAATATTATATTAATATTATAATATATTAATAATGCGTATATATTATTAAATATCTAATCAAAATATATTGTTATTGCCAAAATGTAAGCTTGAATTAACAGGTTGAAAGGAATATAAAACAGCAGAGTATATTCTTTACTTTATATATATGTATAATAAATAAATAAATAAATAAATAAAATATAAATTTGTATAAGTGGTAAAATGTGAATTATCTCTCATATATATATACATTTAAATTGTATTAGTTTATGGATAAACGGAATATACATCCAGCCTTAATTTCAGCATAATTATTAGAGATTTCAGTGGTGCCTAAAAGTATTCCATAAATTTTTCTTATCAAATATTCAGCTCTATAATATGCTAAGCTCTTAAACAAATGGAGTTTTTAATGTACGAAAAGTTACTGTCAGAAGACATAAGCTGACTATAATTTTCCTACTCTATATACTATACTGTACTGTGTTCTATGCAGCACTATGCTGCTTATGATACTATATGATATTATATATCATACTGGCTGTAGGTTATAAAAATTGTGTATATATGCTATGCTATTTAATGGTGCAGTAAATGAGTTTTCTACGTGGGGCAGGACCTGCATCCTTGTAAACGTATGAATACCATAGCTGAGATAGTATTTTAAAGCTATATGCATACCTTATATAATCAGCTTACTCAACTCTATTATAATATGCTTTACTCAACCAAAAAATGTATAATAATAATATATCAATATATGTATATCAGATCAGTCTAGATTCTCCATTTTATTTTTCTAATAATTATATAATATTCTTTCCCGCATATTTTGGAATTTAAACTCCTTTTCTAATACTTAACGTTTTTTACAAATTAATTCTAATTTAATGAAATGCTCCACGATGCCTGTAACTCGACATGCTTACATCTTGCAATAATCACACTTTATTCACTCAACAAATCATATTCAACATTTTGTATTTTTGGACTCTGATCTTTAATAAATTATTCGTTAAGTAAATCTTCTTGCACCGACAGACACTCAATGTCAACTCGTTGAACTTTGTAATTCTGCTGCGCGTTTCAGGGCAGTTACAAAAGGCGTAAGTGCTGATTATGTTAAATCTGAGCAATGCACACAAGACCACGCCCACACACACGCCCCTTGAGTTGACAACTTAATTGAATAATCCGCAGCGCTTCTCACAATCATTTGCTGAGTGTCCCGAAGCATTCGCACAGTTCATTCATTCAGTCAAAATTCCGGAGCGAACTTACGCATTGTTCTCTCTCCCTCCGCTGATCAAAACATTATCTGCATCTGTATCTGTGTGTTCAGCATAAATTAATAAGGCGGAAATTTTAATATAAACACAGTTATTACGAATACGGCGCGTTCTTTCAGCTCCATTGTAGGCATAATTAAGCGCAGCCTTTCCTCGAATTGTCCCCCCACTGAGTGCGTACCGCTCATGCGTGTCGCACTTGCCTGTGTAATTGTAATACATATTGAGATTGAGCAATAAATTTTTAACATATGCCAGAGCTCATGTTGCGGCCACAACTCGTAGAGTCCAAGCTCTAAACACCCGCCCGCCCCACCCACTAACTAACTGTCAGCTGTCAGATTCGCATCAATCATTGTGGCGCCTACTTTTCATTTAAGTTTACATAATTAACTTGGTTTTTTGTGTGTTTGTGAAAATCTTTCGGCACTTGGCCAAACCTAACTAATCTTTATATGTATTTCTCTCTCTGAAACTAGTTTCTCATCGTCTCACATCTCTTAAATGGCTTTTTGGCAGTCCACAGTGATTTTTTTTTCATGTTAATTAATTAAACGCAATTGGCAATTAGCAACTATATACATCTATATGTGTAGGTATCTTTGCCAAAGTCCATTTTGGACTGTCTTCAATTGCTGCTAGTCCAAAAAATTGTGAAGCAGCTTACTTAGAAAACGAATATTTATATAGATCCAACAAGTCTCTTCTCAGTTGTCTATGT